TAAACATATTCTGTAGACAGATTTTACTTGTCTTTTTTAATCCGTTTAAAAATAATGAAGATTCCATAACAGTTCGATTCAAACCATTGTAGTTCAGCTGTGTTCATTTAGTGAGTGAGTGAGTGAGTGAGTTTGGTTTTACGCCGCTTTTAGCAATATTCCAGCAACATCACGGCGGGGGACACCAGAAATGGGCTTCACACATTGTACCCAAGTGGGGAATCGAACCCGGGCCTTCGGCGTGACGAGCCAACGCTTTACCCAACTAGGCTAGTTCATTTAGTACTGCTTGGGATTAGGAGTGATTGCTTGAAAAATAGTCTGTTAACTTCAGTCTACAAAAATAGGTTGCAATACTTTTCTTATCACGAATTTAACGTCAAATTAAAGTTTTTTTCTAATTTAAGTTTGAGTAAAATAATCAGTTCCTGATGCAAAAAAACAGAGTGAGCAAATACCGAGGCAATGTCTGTTGCCAGACATGAGATCATCTCCACCACAGACAATTCAAATTCGGCCTCGCTAAATACAAGTCTCTGAAAACGGTGACTCTAAAGACAGGGGTAACGGATCGAAATGCCCCTTCAACCATTGAGATGTGCCCAAGAGGTTGATAAAAAGAACTCTATGTACTTTTTGCGTTCAATAGTAGGAATTTAATCCGTCAAAATCCGTGAGACCAAACACTGCAAAGTGGGGAGCACAGAAGACGTATTCTTGATCCTAGTTTTAGGTTCCCGATCGTTTGTCAGCTGTCGACAAGACCAAAGTTTCCGACAAAAGTAGATCTATTGGAATCCTGCAAATCGAAGGGGTTTTGGTATGCTATGGTCTGAGCCCACTGGGGGAAATGCGGAATGGTAAAGTCCTGTAGTGGAATCGAGTGACTATGCCTTAGCTACTTCCCCTGGGTGCTTTAACGTGTAACGGGACAGAACGGGTTGCGTTAAGTGAGCTGATGGTCTTTCCACATTGATGAATTAAGTATATTCAGATTCTGGGATTTGCCACGATGAGGTCAGGACAGGCAAACCACTACAACGTTACAGTTAAAATGATGAAGTTCAAATTATGAAATGAAAGAAAATAATGTTATATAAACTTGCAGTGTTTATGTTAATTACTGACAAATATCACTCTTATTCACCTTGTAATATTGATCATATTATTGAAATCAAAGTTTATCAAACTATTCGCAGAATTTGAGCGTTCGGATGTTTAAAAATAAATGAACCACTGAAGAAAAGTAGATGAGAAAATGTTACATCAATGTGTCTGATACGTTAAATATCTGTAATAACAAGAAGAGTATAATATATATTAGTCGTGCAAACAATGGGCCATGTTGCCTTTATTCATGAATATATTTCTTCTCAAACTCTTACAAAACTCTCAGTGGCTCAAGGCTCTTAATTTTCTCATTACTGAGTGAATATTGTTTTACGTCACAGACTGTAAGGTATAAGCTCTAGGGGCGGTGGGGTAGCCTAGTGGTTAAAGCGTTGGCTCGTCACGTCGAAGACCCGGGTTCGAATCCCCACATGGGTACAATGTGTGAAGCCCATTTCTGGTGTCCCCCGCCGTGATGTTGCTGGAATATTGCTAAAAGCTGCTTAAAACCAAACTCAGTCAGTATAAGCTCTATCGTGATAAACGTCAAACAACGCAATATATGTGTTTTGTCAAAACAGACAGCCTACAAATACTCTCCAGTGATGATTGTAGAAGGTGAACATTTTACTTTCAGTTAAATTCGTCGGCGATATACATGAGTTTCAATGATTGGCACTCAATGAACTACATCAGCAAATTATGTCGATGGGATTTATTTGTCTATTTAACCGTCACAGTATGCAAATGGTGCATATAAAGTAATTATGACAATATAACACTGCTTTGTTAAGTATCTCATTACTCAAATAGGTTAAGGACAACCCGATTTATTCAAATCAATATAGAATGGGTCATTTTATGATTAACTATAGCTGAAAGAATCGGATGGTCCTGAACCACTTTTGAAAAGTAGTTTATGTGATGAAAGTCCAAGTGAAGCACGTATGCTGGAAAACAGCCTAATTGGGAGAAGGTGAAATTCGAACCAACGACAGCTCCTTTAAGAGCTAACGAATTTCGGCACCTATACCGCTTGGCCACCAAGGTCCCTACTCCACAGGCCGCCTTAGACGGGTCTGAGTAGACAGATCATTGTGGCAGCTACCTACTCGGGGGCAGAACGCTCGAGATTGATACAGGAACATATGGTGTACTAATTGCATCTGTCAAACATGCTCGGATACTGTCTCCCAAAGTGGTAGAATATAGTCGGAGGTTACTGTGAAGGAGTATTTACATACAAGCTGATTATTTATGTGAGTATCTGCAGGATTTCCTTTGGTCGTTTAGTGACTGAAACCTGATAATTTATAAAGAGGTACATATGCAAAATATTACCCACCCTCACCAAATACTCACTCACTCACTCACTCACTCACTCACTCACTCACTCACCCACCAGGGGCGTAGTTACCATTATTTAAAAAAGACCGGGCTTACACATGATTGTTGCGAAAAAGGTTGGGCAAGTCCTCAATAATATCTAACGAAAAAGCTTTGCATCCTATCGGGCTAACAACCAAACAATTGGTTTGCTACGCGCCTGCTCACTCACTCACTCACTCAGGCTACACAATGATGAACGTTTGATACAAGGAACTGTATTTGCAACATCCTGTAATATTTTACAATCAATAACATTATATTTTCTCCACATCACGAAACGTACATTTTAATGTTCTGGACATTGCAAAGCTAACTTTTCATGACTATTTCTTAGATGCGTATAACAAGATATTTTGATAAGACATTACTCTGGTTCCTGGCATAAACATTTCATTCATCACCCATAACTAATAACGTTCTTACAAAAAACTTAATCATCTTGCTAAACGTTTGACCTCCACAATTATATAATGAATGAATCACGATAGAATAGACCCAATTTGTAGGGTAAACCAACATAGTCGAAAGCAATATTGATAATGAACAGTTCCCTCGCCAGTAGTATCCATAAATGACCTACCAGTATGTATCTCTTGGGTATGATAACAAGGTGTATTGCCCTACACACATGTGCAATAACTCATGTGCTTATGACGGCTAACCACTCCACAACTACTAATAGCATACGGTTGCTGATACATATCGAAGAGTGTACAAGGGCTGTAATAAACCTCGGTCGAGTGTATTGTGGGCATGGGATGCAGGTAAGGTAAGCAAGCCAGTAATTAGATTACATGTGGTAAAGGGTTTAGGAAGGTACAATTATCACCTTCAGACTCCATGGCAGCGAATCAAGATTATACAAATATACCTTCCTTGTACAGGTCACGACTGACGATCCATCACGGTAATGCATGTGGTAGCATCTCACCAGAAGAGACAGATGTTGTGATAGGGCACTTAAGTCAGTTATAGACCTGGATTTCCCGAAATAGGAGATGTTCTTGGTGAATGTTTTGTCATGCATAATGATTATCATATGTGCATGTATATGATGTTGCTTATTCTCGCAGGAAATTTAATGAGATATGTATTTATTTTGTAATAGATAATTCAGAAAACTACAACCTACTAATTGTGTGTGGGTGGGTGTGGGTGTGTGGGTGTGGGTGGGTGTGTGTGTAGGGGTTTGTTTTGTTGGATTTTGCATGCAAGTGCTTTTTCTTTCTTTCTTTGTTTTCTTTACTGATTGGGGTGGAGGTGTGCATGTGTAAATACTACACTTGGTACAAGTCAATAACAGTAGGATGTGACAGTAGGATGTGACACTAGGATGTGACAGTAGGATGTGACACGTTCAATAACAATAACTGAGCGCATCATTACAAAAAATGAAATCCATTACGAATGAAATCCGTTGTTATTTTCATGGGTTTTTGTAATTGAGTGCCGCCTTGCATTGAACAGGTTGTTTTCATGATGCTCGGCATTTAAGTGATGAGGTGTTCAAGTCACACATGCACGCACGCACGCACACACACACACACAGACAGACACACAGAGAGAGACAAACACACAAGACACACACACACAGACAGACAGACACACACAACACACAGACACACAGAGAGAGACAGACACACACAACACAAACACACAGAGAGAGAGACAGACAGACACACACACACAACACACACAACACACACACACACACACACACACAAAACACACGCGTGGTCCATTGTTGTGGCAATGTAAGTGTATTAATACTGAAAGCGGCGTTAAACCCAATTTCATCTTATCACACCTCAAAACCCACTCATTGAAACATTTATGATTGTCACTGGCACCAGATGGATTTTCCAATTTAAGCTTTGTCAAATACGTAATGCAAGCTAATAATCTCTGTTTTATATTTTGCATGGCTTTACGCAACATTAATTTCCTGTTTGGAGCCAACCTCAGTTCCCCACGCGTCCAATAGGTAATAAAGCTGACTGGATGGCGTGGCCTTGTCTTCCTGAGACACCAACAGATAGGTGTTAAGGGTTGAGACTGTCGGGTCAACAAATGCATCATTTCAATATAACGGTATCACAGCATCGCGTCAACCAAGGGTCGCTTAAGACGGTGACAGTAATGGATCTTACAGCTTTGACATTGTGTCCCCATCTGGACGTGAAGCCACACCGGTAATCATGAAGCGGCCAGACACATGACGCATACAAGCGTCCGACATAATGTCCATTAGTTGATACATTTCCGAATTCAACCAAGCGACCTATGAAGAAGCACCTATGTGTCTGTGTCACAACCGCCAGGACACGACATTTTGTGGATGAGAGGCGTGGAGGGAGCGGGCGTGGGTTACTATTGGAGACAATGAGTGGTGTGGGGTGTGGCTGCAGGTTACTGCGGGTTTGAGTGAGAGGCGTGGGGGGAGCGGCGTGGGTTACTATTGGAGACAATGAGTGGTGTGGGGTGGTGGTGACGTCGGGGAGCGGCGTGGGTTACTATAGGGCAGGTTACTGCTATTGGAGACAATGAGTGGTGTGGGGTGTGGCCGCAGGTTACTGCGGGTTTCTGTGAGAGGTGTGGGTTGAGTGGTGATAGGCTACTGACTTGGGTGAATGAGTTATCATAAGTTACTCTTGGATGTGGCGTGTTATTGCGTAGGGGTTAATGAGTGAGTGAATGAATGTGGCTTCACATTGCTCTTAGCAATATTCCAGCAATATCACGGCGGGGGACACCAGATATGGGCTTCACCCATGTGGGGAATCGAACCCGGATCTTCAACGTGACGTGCGGACTACCGCACCGCCCCCGTGCGGTGAGTATTCGTAGGTTACTGCTGGGTTCATTGATAGGCCTGGGTTGGGAGGCACTAGGTTACTGCTGGGTTCAGAGAGAGGTTAAAGGTTACTGCTGGGTTCAGTGGGAGGTCAAAGGTTACAGCTGGGTTCAGTGGGAGGTCAAAGGTTACTGCTGGGTTCAGTGGGAGGTCACAGGTTACAGCTGGGTTCAGTGGGAGGCACGAGGTTACTGCTGGGTTCAGTGGGAGGTCAAAGGTTACTGCTGGGTTCAGTGGGAGGTCAAAGGTTACTGCTGGGTTCAGTGGGAGGTCAAAGGTTACTGCTGGGTTCAGTGGGAGGTCAAAGGTTACTGCTGGGTTCAGTGGGAGGTCAAAGGTTACTGCTGGGTTCAGTGGGAGGAGCGAGTTCAGTGAGAGGTCAAAGGTTACTGCTGGTTTCAGTGGGAGGTCAAAGGTTACTGCTGGGTTCAGTGAGAGGTCAAAGGTTACTGCTGGGTTCAGTGAGGGAGGTTCAGTGAGAGGTCAAAGGTTACTGCAAGGTTCAGTGGGAGGTCAAAGGTTACTGCAAGGTTCAGTGAGAGGTCAAAGGTTACTGCAAGGTTCAGTGAGAGGTCAAAGGTTACTGCTGGGTTCAGTGAGAGGTCAAAGGTTACTGCTGGGTTCAGTCAGAGGCGTGGCTGAGTCACTGGTCATAATATAAGTTACCAATGGAACTAGTGGCAGGCGGGAGCAAGCGAGAGGTAAGTAAAATAGTGAAAACGTTTTGCAGTGTATGGGTGAGTTGTTGAGCTATGATCAAGAAGTGAAAAATATATAATGCCGCTTGTGTGTAATGATCGAAGATACGAAGTAGTGAGTGGTGATCGGAAAGCAAGTGTTGAGGTACGTAAGTGTAATTAAAATAAGTTAATTATAAGTGTTTATGTGCCATTTTCTTCTGAAACTTCATTTAAAAAATCAGGATCACCCTGTCAGTCACTGTGTAACGTAATGGTGTAACTGTGCATCCACCTCTACGTAACTCTGTGACTATGTCACTACATATAACATCATCTACTTTAGAAAACTCAACGTAAACGCTGACAGGGACGCGCCGGTGCGCCGGTCTGATGTAAAAGTCATGAACATCAACATCAGCGATGCACGGTCTATATTTACACCTGGATTCATCACACTAATTATCAGATCTCCCCGAATCAATAGTGTCATTGTACTGTTCCTCTAACTTAACGCAACCTTTGGCGCAGATTACTGTCTGTTCCACAAACGCATGTTCCCCTTCTTCTCGTGTGCTAACACTGTTTACATCTTATCGCCGTCTTCATCTTCAGGATCCTATTACTTTGCATCAAGAAGCTTTATGCTGAGTGGTTGTACTTAGAGCTGAAAGAAAATAAGCTTCAGCGAAAACAAGGGAAAATGAAGAAAGCTTTTATAAGACGTTTCCCTTACGACTAGAAATAGCATTGCCAGACAACAAACAACTGCCTGATTATGTAATTTTTAATCAAGAACGCTTCAAAGTATCGAAAATCAAATTCGTGAAAGCGAAATTAGCAAGGAAATTTACGATTGTACAAATCTATTTTCAAGTGAGAAAGAAATTTCTCCTCAATCTGACTTGAAACAGTTCTGGCGTCTACGTAGACAGAAAAACAATATGGCGGGTCAGGAGTTTGCTGCAGCCCAGATTTAGGAGCTATTTATTTCTGAAACGTGCAAGATTCAACAGCATTCAGCCACAACCAAGCCTGTGATCCACAGGAATGAATTACGAGTCGATTGAATATCGCTTTTCTTTTTCTCAGCCAGCTAATTTAAGAGATAAATATGCAAACACGAACGCCCCTGAACTGTGTGACCTCCCACCGCACGTGTACATCAACTGCGCATGCCTGTTGTGACAGTATTGTCACCACGAAATGCAGCGGCAGGCGGAGGCTTCTCTGAAGAAATACCTAAAGCCAGAGAAAAAGAATTCTCATATACAGCTAACGTCAGTGAATGTTTATACTTATCAGTCGAAGCCTAAACTTTAAGATAAATCCTTTACACAACTATCAAGAACGCGTTTATCTCATGCAAGAGTAGTCGCCCCTTGGCTGGCGGTGCTAACTTTAAACGACTCCAGATTCCCGTTTGACATCACAGATATGCCTCAAACGTAAATAAAGATAAGTAGCACAGCATTGCAAATGAGAACGGACAATACGCATCCATTCTCAAATGGCCATGTAGAGTGGAACTGATAAATGTCATTATGGAGCAATGCAGTCTTTTCTTCTGCTATCTTCATTGTGATAACATAAAGATGATGACTCAGTAACTTGACCTTACACTACCCTGTTACAGAGGCTGATATAGATGAAATGATTGCTTGCCGATTGGAATGAAGATGTGGCGTTATTTCAGCTTGCTTGGTCAATCAATGACCAAGGGGCTGCTTGATGAAAGGTGTCTGGTGGTGATTACACTTCAACTGACCTATTGGACCATGTCCTGATGGTGTTGGTTTAGACTGTCCAGTCTGGGCCGCGAGGGGCGGTGAGTGTGCATGATATTGACTCGGCATCTAGTCAGTGAGTAATGCATTAGGTACTGCCTCCAAACTTTCTATCCATATCTATGAGGACAGTTCTAGATGAGTGCCGAGATGCAGAAGATGAAAGGATAAGATCCATTATAACCGATACATTAGTGGGCATGCAGAAGATCAAACAACTGTATGGATAACGGTATTTTGAAAGCAAGGGTTTTTAACCATTATGAAGAAAATTATAAATCAATCTATTCAAATGGAAAAGCACACATAATCATTTGTCGGGGTTATTAAAAGATCAGGGGCTGGCGTTCAACGCTAGGTGTAACACTATTACAGGAACATCATGGCGGGTCCGGAAAAACGGGAATTACGCTTGCTGTTGTAAAACCCAGGTCTTCCAGCGACCAAAACCACAGAACGCTGTAACTAAATTGCCGGGAGAGGGACACCTGACTGGATCTGCCTAAAATATTACAAATTAACACTACAAACTAAAAGTCCAAACCACATAACTATAATGAGTTTTGTTTTACGCCTCTTTCAGCAATATTTTAGCAAAATGGGCAACTCCAGAAATGTGCTTTACAGTTTACCCATGTGGGGAATCGAACCTGTGTTTTCGGCTTGACGACCGATCGCTATAACCACTAGGCTACCCCATCGCCCCAATAACCAAAAATACTCATTTGGAATACCTCACCATCGAATAACCTTGTTTGGTTCAAACTCATCCACAGTCATTGCTGCTTGAATCCTGGTTTTGTTAGTTTACTTTTAATGTTGTCTCAGGAAGCAGTCCATCAGCAATATTGTAGTTACATCACAGCAGCCTCTGAACGGTTGAATCCGGAGCAGGCAAACCAATGGATCATCCTAAGTAGCATCTGAAGCGGCCGGGGTAAAACAACAAACATTACCTCACATTATATCTCAGTGACAGGGTTTTAGACCGCTCCAGCGGGGATGAGTTAATTAGGGAGCGTTCATAATTTATGGATTTATGGCTAGTGAGGATGGGGATGACATTATAAAAGGGGAGGGGGTTGTTTGGTGGTGGTGGTGTCATCCATTTTGTTCTGAGGAGGTCTGGGGGATCATCAATTTTGTACACCTGTACTGGGGGTCAGCAATTTTGTGCAGGAAAATACTTTAAATTATGTTTAAAATTTACGGGGGTAGGGGACATTGATTTTGTACATGACATGCAGGGGAGGAGGTCACTTACTTTGTACATAGATTTTACGGGGGTCATTCACATAATATTGTACTTGCTTCTCCATAAAAATCACCATCACCCCTTATAGCCATAAAATATGAACGGTATCTTAGTGCGTTGCTATTTCTGCTTAATCAGCAGCTGGGTGTGTGATGGACGTGGACAATGTCATAATAAATTCTCTACCAGGCATATATTATCTTGTTTTATTAAACTTACATCTTTAGTTGTTTCTTTCTATAAATAAAGAAGGGACAAACTCGCAAACACATCTTCGGAAATCTCACGACAGGTTTGTATATCTATTATACGTTTCGTTTTGACAATACTGCTACACATTTCGTGTATGATGCCTACAAGTCTTGATCCGGGTCTAATTATTGCTACAGGAAAAAAACCCATTGCTTCCAGTCTTCCATCCTCGATAATCTCCAGGGTATACGTTACGATCACTCTCCACTATACCCTGGATGCATCCACGGCTTGGCCCGATAATTATATTACCTCCCTTTGCTGACTTTTTATCCAATCAGGGATCTACGCTGGGAAGTTGAGCGAACCAATCACAACTCACTTTCGCTTCTTAAATTATCTAACCGTTAAACTTGGCAACACAATTGATGCAGAGGTACTCTGAAAGAGGCAGAAGGGATCTTTCATATATGTTTTTAAAGTTTCAGCTCTGTTAATTTGTCTATGAAATCCCAAAAAATGTGGCGCTGCGAACAAACCTTCGCGACTGCGACCGCTATCTTTGTTGACACTGGCAAGCTCGGATGTAACGCTGGCTTAGCTGATTGGCTACTGTGAGAATGCGGAGCCAGCAAAGGGAAGTAATATAATTATCGGGCAAAGCCGTGGATGCATCCAGGGTATAGTGGAGAGTGATCGTAACGTATACCCTGGAGATATCGAGGATGCCAGTCTTCCAGCTTAACCTGAACTCTTCAGGGAACAGGCGTGACATAACACCCCCTTTCTGGTCTTGAGCCGGGTAACAACGACCGATAGGTTACGATGGTTAATCTCGCTAATTGTATGTCATCGTGCCTATAACAACAATGTATTTATCGTGCTATCAACCACTACATTCTCTGGTTGTATTTACACGCTGATTTATGCATAGAATAGTATTGCCTGTACCATAAAACAACATTCATTTATTCACTCACCAAAACATTTTCTTTTCTTTTGTTGTTGTTTAAAGCCGAACTCTGCAATATTCCAGCTATATGGCGGCTATATGTAAACAGTCTAGTCTGGATCAGACAATCCAGTGATCAGCAGTTATCCAGAAACCAAAACATTGCAACTTAAATACGTCTTTGCCAGAGAATGCCTTGTGCATGCATGAGCTAAAAACGGACATGCGCAAATAGTACACTAGTCACTAGCATGTTGGCACTGGCTGTGAGCCGACAGAGGGCGCTGCAAGCTCTCTTTACCTCGATACACACATCAACAAAACGCAGAAAGTCCCTGTTCAAAATAGCTTCACCTAAAACCTAGACAACTGCGGGGGTTACAAGACCTCAACTCTCTTAGTAGGGGGTATTTACAATGTGTCATAGATACTTCCTGAGTCGGTCCTTCTGCCAAAAGAAGACGCAAAACAAACAGACAGAGGATCACTTATCCAATCTGGCAGGAGAAAGGGAAGATATACACGTAGATAGAAAGTCTGTGCTTTTTCGTGTTTTCCTCTACGTCCGAGTGAACAAATAGACTCTCCAACATCTGGTTTTTCTACATGCATGACAGCTGAAGTCTTCCAAGCCTTCAGAGGATTAAAATTATGTCTTCCTTGTGTGTGGTACTTTACCCAAGATATTATCACCAAGATCAATAAATACTGGGTTAGAATTGTGATTTACAAAATCGATTTTGCACAAAAGATTTCAAGTTCATTATTTTCTGTCTTTTACACAACATACTTAGGACGTGTTTGATGGAAGCGTCGGCCTTATAAGAGATGTCGGTGTGTGGTAAATGTACCGGCTGGTGTCATAGATGATATGTCTCTTAAAATTATATTATTTATGGGGTATAATATAAGGGGACATATATATGCTCGAGATAGACGGAAATCATCAGTGTGTATCTTATAGCACCAAGAACTTCAAATGATAATTTACTATCAAATTTAGATACCGTTGGTGGCCATGGTACTTTGTTTGTAATTAAGGAAAGACACAGCCTCGTTCTCGTCGCAGTTTGAACCAACTGGCACTTCTAAGAACATCAAAAATTATTAACACCGACAGTTCACCTGCGTGTAGACTTCTCACATGGAGCATAAGAGCGCAGTGCTGGCGCCATGTGTGTTTTGACTACCCTTTTAGCCTAGAACCATCAGCTGATTGTTTGCGAGCCCCCTCTTCCTGTGAAGTAACGGAAAACATGTGTGTATCTTGTTGCCAATCTTCAGATCAATTAAATCAATTCACAAAACATGCCGAAGGTGGGAAAAGCCAACCTCTAACACTTAAACATTTATTCAACACAGTTAACCACGTGGCTTGCACGACCGCTGGCAAACGTCAGAACGCAACGCGAGGAAGCCATCTTGCATCGTCTGCTTCTCGCGTGGCACGTGCTGTTGCATGTTTCCACACAGCACGATCTGGCAGACGTAAACAATTTAACGGCTTTACTGGTAACAGAACATGTCAAAACCGAACAAACTGCACTTTCTTAAGTTGATCCAGATGCTGACGCGCCATTTCTGAAAGGAATTTGCATTTATAATTACATTTAACACTTTACCTAAGGGGTTTAAGATTGTTAAAACTAAAAGTCATCAAAACCTAATTAACAATTAAGCGTCGTTGTTTTTAAAACACTGAATCTGTTATGTTCAAAATTCAATCTGTGAAGTGTTAAAGTAGAGAGCCCTGAAGACTGGATGTTTTGTGATGATTAAACTGACGTTTTGACGTTGATTCCGACAGGATATGCTGACTCTGGTGAATGTTCCTGTCTTTTTCAAGTAGGGCTCTTACGCCAAAGGGTGCATTAACACTTGAAGGATGGCATCAGTACTGAACATAAGTTGGGTTTTATTGTCTTTTTTTATCAACCTCTCAAGTCGTCATAACGATCTGTGAACCGATGAGAATTCTGCTGCAAATGTCCTGCAAAAATGGAACTGTGTTTAGCCAAATAGTTGAGCATCAGATCTTCATTCCGCCGATGTCGGAAATCCATTCACTCATTTCAAGTCAAAACGGTCGAGGTAAACTTTCCCCAACAGTAGTTACCAACGATTCGAATTAAAGGGAGGGGAACAAGGTTCAATTTATGTCTGTTTATTACATGTACTTTCAGGACGACACACTGCATTTCCTTTCTTAAATAAAGGGCAAGCTGGAACGAATGTCCATTTGGACAGGAAAATAAGATCTGCATGACTTTCGATTTGAGCTTGTGACCGTTAGAAAATGTTGATGCGAAATTTATGTGTTCAAATGAATGAACTGCCCTTTACTCATTTGTATGGGGATGTATGGCAATAATTAATTCACAATGTGCAATGATTCAAGGGTTTTCATGAACTACTTTTTATTATATGAATACATGAGCCAGTCTTTGGCCCAAACCGATTTCCATAGATGTACATAAACATTACAACTGAAGTAAAGAATTATTGAGTCGCAAAAATGCTCAGACTTAAATATCATATCTGGATATGTTTATGTCTGCCATCTATTTAGCTATATTTATGGATTTAACCTTGTCATACGTCCAAATCGTACTGGCGGAAGACAGAAATACAGATAGCTGTCAACCATTTTATCATTTCTGAGCATATTTATCTCCATATCTCTACCCAATATTCTACCACTTCCTTTCTACTTATCGAAAAAGTCATGTACTGAGTGGCTTTTCGAAAATATTCGGAACATGATTAAAATCAGATCTAACGTATTATATATACACGTGGAATACTGCTGTTGTTCTCTGTATGTGTGTGTGCGTGCGTGTGTGCGTGTGTGTGCGTTTGAATCTGTTTCTGTGTGCGTGGTGCTGGAGAGGGAGGGGAGGAATGTGGGGGCTCCCATACCGTTTCAAATTATACTAAAAATATCTACATTGCAATTTCTACATACGTGATCGGTTTTATGGGTTAACGTATTACAATAACATAAAATATTTGTTTGCTTTGTGTTTTGAATATTATATCACGCGTGCGAAATCCAATGTTTCGAGAATGACTTAAAATCATGTTTCCATACGCATTTTGTTTGTTTGTTGTTTAAAGCTGCCCTCAGCAAAATCAAAGCTATACCACGATGATCCAAATAATCTAGTGAATGGCAGCACGGGCATCGATCTACCCAATTTGGACACGACATGCATCAACCAACATAAGCGAGCCTGATCACCTGATCCTGTTAGTCGTCTCTGGCCACAAGAAAATTATTCCTGGAAGGTCATCTACCTACTGATGTCATTCAGTGAGACGGAATACGGTTAGTTAGAACGGTGGTGGGCGGATCTGGTCGCCCCGGCATGGGCAGTCTGAGGAAGGACGGTACGTATATCACCTCCACACCAAGACGAGCCCAGACTTTTTTCTCATCAAATACATATTTTTTTCTAACCGCTAGTGAACAGAACACATTAGATGGAGCGGTATTTTAGCATCTTTTACATCCACTGGGACCCCTCTCAAACAACGCAGAATTTAAATTACATTTGTTAAGTTTCGTACATGACAACATGTGCCTTTTTCAGTCCCGTCTTCGTGCGTTGAGAAATAGGGCTTTTGAACCATAAGAAGCACTATACATCTCGGTCCAGGGTTTAATGTTATTAAGTACGGAGCCAGTGCTTTCAACAAATCATCAAATTTCATCTGTGGAGCAACAAAAAGAGATGTAACCGTCTTCACATTGAGGTCGTGTGACAGCAGATGATGGAGTGTTTTACAAAACTTGGATCGATCCCAGCGGCGGATGAGAGAGCCACGGCTTGAGGGAGGCAACCGTTGGTTTCAATCAGCAGTATGCCGTCACGAGTTACGTCCCTTGTTATGCTGACTCGTGCGTGGTTGATACGATTTTGAGTGAATGTACTTTCAGTTTTCTTTACAGTTTAAAACATTTGTGTTGTTTCTGTTCCCTTCAAACATGTGAGAAAGTCATAACTAATTGTAAAGGCTATAATTTAGTTAAATTAAGTTAAATATGAGTCGAATTATGTTTAATGATATTTGTAAACACATTATTAAACATACTGACAATGATACAATCCATAAATGGCACACAGGACAATTGAAAATATACACTAATGTCTGATAGTGGCTAAATGAAGCAAACGAGTTGTGTTTTCTTCGATACTGGTGTACTTGATACGAGTATCATGGTTGTGTGTATATCTTATGTTCAACGATACTCCGAAGTCCAGGAACACTTTGATAACGTGTACTTGTTTGGTCTTACCTTTTTTATCAAGTGTATATTTTCCAGGGCAGGTTACACTCTTAAAGTTATCACAATTAAGGTATAATCTTACCGTATCCCCAATGGATATATCTCCTAAAGTGTAGAATATATCATTATCAATGCAGCATATCATACGTGTATATCTGCTTTATAGAGATTATCCTACTGCATGTTAGTAAAATATATGATTGAATTTCAGTTTGTTTCAATGTTACATCTACATAATGATAGATTTAAACATTCGGTAAGATACATATGATTCGGTGTGTGTGTGTGTGCGTACGTGCGTGCGTGCGTTATTAGCTGCCAGGGGTGTCCATGTGTCACATGATATCTTCAACGTTGTTATTAGCTGCCACGGGTGTCCATGTGTCACATATCTTCAAACTTGTTATTAGCTACCACGGGTGTCCATGTGTCACATATCTTCAACGTTGTTATTAGTTACCTTCGGTGTCCATGTGTCATATGACATCTTTAAAGTTGTTATTAGCTGCCAGGGGTGTCCATGTGTCACATATCTTCAAACTTGTTATTAGCTACCACGGGTGTCCATGTGTCACATATCTTCAAAGTTGTTATCAGCTGCCACGGGTGTCCATGTGTCACATATCTTCAAACTTGTTATTGTTATGTCCAGCTATCTTCACGTTGTTATTAGTCCATCGGTGTCCATGTGTCACATATCTTCAACGTTGTTATTAGTTACCTTCGGTGTCCATGTGTCATATGACATCTTTAAAGTTGTTATTAGCTGCCAGGGGTGTCCATGTGTCACATGATATCTTCAACGTTGTTATTAGCTGCCACGGGTGTCCATGTGTCACATGATATCTTCAAAGTTATTATTAGCTGCCACGGGTGTCCATGTGTCACATATCTTCAACGTTGTTATTAGTTACCTTCGGTGTCCATGTGTCACATATCTTCAACGTTGTTATTAGTTACCTTCGGTGTCCATGTGTCACATGATATCTTCAACGTTGTTATTAGCTGCCACGGGTGTCCATGTGTCACATGATATCTTCAAAGTTGTTATTAGCTGCCACGGGTGTCCATGTGTCACATAATTGCTTCATATGGTGTCTTCAATATTTAAACTTGCTTTTTAACCATAACCCATTCGCCAGAACTTCAGTATATTTCCCTAACAATAACAAAGAAATTTTCTGCTAGTTTTAATTTTGGAACGTGAAACATCAAGGCGAAATATCAAAAGAATACCAGTACACAGGTGAAAACTGAATTTGACAGAAACAAATATAAACGTTCTCTAAACGTTATTAAGCTGAAAACAGTCGCCGAAACTGTGCCGACCTAAAGTCCAAAACCATGTTATGATACATCACAATCGAGTAACCATTTCTGGAATGTTTGATTCCTTCTTAGACACCGCTAGATACTGGTGTATACTTTCTTTGTCCGGACGTTAACATTGCCATAAACAACACGCACACGAGTCTATGCATCGGTTACCATAGCAACACAGGTGATGCTGACAACAACTGCAGTGCATCTGTCCGATGATAGAGTTCGAGGGTTGAAGGGTTGAATGTGAAGTAGTAATATGGACAGTTTAGAAAACTACGACATTAGATAACATCGTCGATTATCCTGCAATATATTTCAATGTTATGGCCATATATATACCCTGGACCCTTGTCTGTGAAAGCTTTTCTTCAGCCTGATTGGAATAGAAGGACGCTTCAATTATCCGTCCAGTCAATTACCTCTGATTGGCGAGAGAAATCCTGTGCTGAAGCAGTGGAACTGGTGACGTCACTTCCGAAACAGAACTGTGGCTGGTGAATTGCTACGGGTATTTATCATATTAGAATGGCGATATAGATGATATGATATATCACATACAGTCAAATCCCGATGAGTCGAATGCCGGTGTCTCGAATATTATGCATAACTCGAAGTACCTGTCGGTCCCGACCATTCCCTGTTATAGTTGTCATCATTTGATTTCCGATTACACGAATTCGTACTTTAGTGTAAAACGCAGTTCTTTCTCATATATACTGTATATTGAGAGTAAACTACATCATTCTAAGGCCTATGCCATGAAGGCTTTGACTGTTCCAGCTATTATCTTCGTGCACACAGGACACGTTTCTACACGTGCAGAGCAGGGGGCGCACGTGATAAGATGGCCGCACGGGAGAAATACCACGTTAACTTCCGCTGTTTGACACAGTCGACACATGACCTGCGCACGCAGCCTTCTGTTTTCAGTTTTGACTGACTTTGTGGCGGTATTCTTTCCTGATCTCTTCCCACTGGGGGAACCACTGACGGCTCGTTTGGTCATAGATTCCCTCCCCGCGGATTCCATTGATAGGCTATCATTAAACATATGTGTGACATTATTTATTGAGTATTTCACTTCCTCGTTAACTGATAACGGTTTGACCAATGATGGCGTCCATCTTTCAGACCCACCATTTATGTCTTGACCACATGCTCCTGCAGATACGCATGCGTTGTTGGACTTCCGGCTCGGATTATCTGAAACAGCCCCGCCAATTGCTGCATTCATATTGGTTTCATCTGTTTCCTTTTCATGGATGTGTCCTCCCGTGGCACATTCGGTCCTGGTGTCTCCTGCAACCTGTTCTGTAAACGCTTCTCTGGTGTTCTGGTTACTGGAGTCGTCAGACTTACTGACTGCTTGTGCTGCTCCGAGCTTCCGAGTAGCAACTCCAAGCTGGTTCAGGTCTGTCTTGTTGATGAACTGACAGTGTTCCGAGTACTTCTGATGTTCCGCCACAGGGTCATGTTCTTCCTCCCAGTCTCTCAGAGTTATCCCACACTGGAAACACGTGACCCGGTCAGCTGACCCGATGTAGAAGAAGCCCGCTGATGCCAGTTCCTCGGGAGTTTTGGGGACATATCTTCTCGGCCAGGCAACGAAGGAGTCAAGACGAGACTTAATGAGTTGGTATCCCGGATGTTTGGGGTCTGTAATACGGCTCTTAGCCTCAAAATGTCCAGCATGTTTCGTTCCATCCATTTGCTTATTCTTGCAGCCATGAATCCTACCAAAAATAGTGATGATAAGTATTTATGATGATTATAATGTTGATACAGGATAAGACTAATAACTAGTCTCTGAAATGAACATATTTTGCTGAAAAAAAAGTTCATAGTAATAAAAAATATATATAATGAAAAGGAGCCTTGGTCTTGCCACATTTTCTAGACTTGCGTGGGCTTTCTTGGACATATTTGCTTCAGGGTCTGTACGAGAGACTACAGGGACATATGAAGTGGCATTACTACCCAATTTTTGAACATATACACATTAAAAGTCAACACAGACTTTACCCTCTAATGTATCTATACTTCCCATCAAAAGTTTAGACTCACTAGTGTAAATATAGCCACTTACTTCAGGCAACTGTTCTACACTAGATTTTGCAAAATATTCCATACTGTTTAAAGGTACTGTTTACACATGAACTAATGTATTGTAAAACAAATTCGTAACGTTGAAAAGATTATTGTCATGAGTTCCATAAATGATATAAATCAGTGAAAATTCTTGGCGAATTCTTAACAAAACATGCTTTTCAGCAATAAGATGCATGATCCTCGTGCAGTTCATCTGCATAAGGTTTGCAGTAAATCCCCCCAAGTTAGTGGCGAAATCAATCTTCGATGTAACCATCTATAAGTATATATAGTATAAAACCCACATACAATTTGCTGTACAAGTCGGTTCTGAAGCCAAATTCTCAAAAGAATGCACACTTTGTAATAAGCACTGCTGTGACCATTATGCCCACATAATTTTACATTGTGAATCTACAATGTGCCAAAGAAATACTTTTTATATGACATAACCTGACCTACTGGATGTAGATCAGGGGTTCAAAAAAAAAAACTTTAAAAGCCATTTGCCCGACTTTAAGAAAGTAACTTGTCCTGACTAATTTTCCACTTGCCCTGATTTTATGACATAATTATGATGATCTAATTATGAAAGAAGAAATCAACATGGTATTTGATGTTAATGTTTACTGGACTATTTATTGAAAAGTGATAAATAGCAAAGAAAGATAACTCTACTTTATTATCATTGCGAAATTTAATAGCTACATTTTGAGCAGATATGAAATTAAATCCAAGTTTATTTGCGGTTTGAAACCATAAGTGGAAGTTATCTAGTAGCCCACGGACAAGTAAAATACCATTATTTGATTGCCCGAAATGAAAACTGACTTGTCCCGGGCGTCGGGCGATGGGATTTTTGGACCCCTGATTAGATGTATATGTATTAATTGAAATGCTTGATGATGAAGATGCCCTTGTACTCTTTAGAGGTGCAAAACTTTACATCCCAGACCTTGATGAAACAGCATGACAAACCATCTTGCTACATTTTTCTAGGTATATTTATTCTTTAAAGGATTCTTTGATGTTTACTTTCTGAACTATCATTGTTGTAAATATCTGTGCTCTTTTGGAGGAAATAAAGACATTCATTCATTCATTCATTCGGCCTTTGTAGAACGTGCCAGGAGTTGTGACGTATTTGTACCAAGGCTACAAGGTGTTAACTGTTAACCCTCGACTCACATTAAGAATACTCTACTCAACTTTTGTCTCAGACTTGTGCTGAAGCCCAGAATTATATTATGGTGATAAAAAAAATGAAAATATCTGTACTCAAACACAAACATTTTGGCAATCTATAACAAACCTGGTACGGTGAAGTCAACAATATATTTTGAGTTTGTGTTCGTATGTACAAGAAAATTACCATTTAAATATTGAAACTTCTCTGTATGTGCTATGATAATAATACCTTGTTTTACATACAGCGACTTTGACCTGGCTAAAACTCCTGAACGATACTTTAACATACCCTAAGAAGAAAGAGTAAATTTGATTTACACTGAAAATGAATTTCGCTTGAGTGAATGATAAGATATTTGGGGGATTGCTGTTAACAGACCAAATAGAACCTCCACAACTATGCACGATTTTGAAAGATTTTGACATCGCACATAATGAAATATTTGTCTACGCCAGTCCATATCTCCTCAAAGTCCAGCAGCATAAAACAGTTCGTAAATATTCCCATTGCTTATAATATTAGTTACGCAGTGTTTTGAAAGGGTGTACGGGACTGTAAGACCCTTGTAAATTCCGTATTTCCTGAGGCGCAGAGATGTACGCAGCCTTAGGAAATACGGAATTTACAAGACTTAGTGTCTTACAGTCCCGTACACCCTTTCAAAACACCGTGTGACGAATTTATTACCCTTAAGATCTCTTTATTTAGCTTATCTTTTCAAAACCAACATTCAATCTTCGGCACAATGAGATGCAAAACGTTTCGCCATGATTTTTTCCTGAACGGTCATGAAAGAAGATAATCGTGGCTTAGTTGATGATTAAAATGATCGATTACACCCGGGCAAATCCGCCGACATGGTTTCGTATGCTTTGACTATTGACCAATCAGAATTCGACAAATTTATCTTATTGGTAATAAATGCATATTATTAATATATTCAATATTGATATTTATAACAGAAAGAGTACACAGAGATTTACACAGTCTACACACAGGGGTTTACAGTGTGCACACAGGGGTGTACAGTCTGCATACAGGGGTTTACAGTCTGGTTACAGGGTTTACAGTCTGGTTACAGGGACATACAGTCTTCACACAGGGGTTTACAGTCTGGTTACAGGGGTTTACAGTCTGGTTACAGGGGTTTACAGTCTGGTTACAGGGGTTTATACAGTCTTCACACAGGGGTTTACAGTCTGGTTACAGGGGTTTACAGTCTGGTTACAGGGGTTTACAGTCTGCATACAGGGGTTTACAGTCTGGTTACAGGGGTTTACAGTCTGCTTACAGGGGTTTACAGTCTGGTTACAGGGGTTTACAGTCTGCATACAGGGGTTTACAGTCTTCACACATGGGTTTACAGTCTGGTTACAGGGGTTTACAGTCTGGTTACAGGGGTTTACAGTCTTCACACAGGGGTTTACAGTCTGGTTACAGGGGTTTACAGTCTGCATACAGGGGTTTACAGTCTGCATACAGGGGTTTACAGTCTGCATACAGGGGTTTACAGTCTGCATACAGGGGTTTACTGTCTGGACACTGGTTACAGGGGTTTACTGTCTGGTTACAGGGGTTTACAGTCTGGTTACAGGGGTTTACAGTCTGCATACAGATGTTTACTGTTTGCATACATGGGTTTACAGTCTGCATACAGGGGTTTACAGTCTTCACACATGGGTTTACAGTCTGCATACAGGGGTTTACAGTCTGCATACAGGTGTTTACTGTTTGCATATGGGGGGTAACAGTGTGCATTCAGGGGTTTACAGTCCGCACACAGGGGTTTACATCTGGGGTTTACAGTCTGCATTCAGGGGTTTACAGTCTGCATACAGGGGTTTACAGTCTGCATACGGGGGTTTACAGTGTGCATACAGGGGTTTACAGTCTGCATACAGGGGTTTACAGTCTGCATACAGGTGTTTACTGTTTGCATATGGGGTAACAGTGTGCATATGGGGGTTCACAGTGTGCATATGGGGGTTTACAGTGTGCATACAGGGGTTTACAATCTGCATACAGGTGTTTACTGTTTGCATATGGGGGTAACAGTGTGCATATGGGGGTTTACAGTGTGCATATGGGGGTTTACAGTGTGCATATGGGGGTTTACAATCTGCACACAGGTCTATACACAGAATTAATTGGAAGGACAATTAGATGCATACATATGATCGTTATCGTTGTTGTCCTGAAGCATCTCTTCCCGGCATCATCACCACGTTTGCTGTGTGGATGTATGCTAATGATGGCATAGGGTAAATCAGAGGACATTACAACGAATACAAGCCGTACCTTATGCTAGTGCAAATGCCTTTGATACTTCTCAAGAACCGCCCTTGTGTTCTGTTGAGTTTAAACAAAACTAAACGGCAAATTCAGGAACCTTAGTCCATATCGAGGAAGCAACACTTTTACTTTCCTTTTGCCGAATTGACGTGTCCGCACGTGAAGACATCGCCATAATCAGTATAGTGACGTGTGCATGACATGTCTTTATTTGGGTATTGCGGTATGACTTTAGAAATGCTGCCTGCACACGGTCATGTACTGATGTATATTTAATTGAACTGGGTCGATTTTCCTGGTCGTGAGTTGGCGTTGTCGAGTTTCATAGGAAAGTCAGTAGCTTTTCAGAATTATGATGAGGATTTTTTCTTTATTTTTTACACAGAAGAACCGCTGCACTTATATAATACAGTAAACGTAATGTAAAATTAACATATCTGAATTGACATCAATGTGACCTATCACTTGTTTGTGTGGTCGACGCTCGAGTGTGTCGAAGCCATTGACGGGAACTTCTGCATAACGAGCAGCAACAAACACTTACGTTAAATGCAAATTGTGTGACACCGGGTGTTCTTGAGAAGGGAATAAGCATGTTCTCATTTACCGGTAGCACCAAGCGCCGACGCTGTTAAGCCGGAGTGTTGATAAAGTGTCGCAGTGAAACTGTGCATTCCATTATCAGTCGACCGTGTCAACGAGAGCAAAAATTCATGAATAATTATTTCAGAAAATCAGCGAAAACAGTAACTAAGATAAGTGATTACCTTAACGAAGCCCTTTATATTCGCTTTGCTGCTACAGGGAAGTAAAGCGTTGAGCGGGGTCAAGGAGGTCAGATCACGTGACGGTGTTTCCGAGAATGACTTGTCGGTTGATTTGATAGAGATTTGAAAAGGGATAGCAAGTCTGAACATGTGCTTACACATACAATGCAAGAAAATTTATGAAGGTCTAATGCACAGACAGTGCCAGATATAAACAGATATATTATTGTTTAACATTAAATTTTAAGATATTTAAGATAATTAAGATTCTTTTGCTTCAGTGCTTTAGAATAATAAGAGGTTACAATTTTCAAAAATTCGCATCATGTCAACCAACTATAAACCGGAAAAAATGACTGCTTTTATGTAGTTATTTCCCTGAGCTGGAGTTATTATTAGCACAGTGGGAATGCCCAACTCGTATCATCACATCACCCAATCAGCATGCAGAGCTGGTTCTGTGGCAAGGCTCGGTTTTCAATTACCGGTATGTCTACGGCCAGTGTCGAGGGTTAAATCTAACAAACCGTGCAGTTATAGCCTACATACATCCTACATATGCCTGGATCTGCACTTGTTAATATAAAATCATAGATTACCGAATAAAGCAGATCGCATGTCACACTGAAGGCTCGGGTAAGAAGATTCCCAACATGGGTACAATGTGCGAAGCAGTTTTTTGTGTCCCCTGCCGTAATATTGCTGGAATATTGCTAAAATTGTCCTAAAGCCTAAAGTAATCTTTGCTTATTTTCTACATTCAAATTTCGGGCTAGTGAATTATTTTGTGGGCTAGTAACTTTCAGGCAAAATTTTGAAACTATTTCGTACACTGTCACTCACTCATTCACCCAAACAAATACAAAAACAAATTCCGATTTTCTCGGATATTGCAAGCTATCAAAGGGAAGTATTTCTATTTTACACCCCTGTGCACCTGTGCACACATACTGCTACATATAAACCTTCTTCTTATCATGCGGCAATGATTTTTCTTAACCATGTTACGCAAATGTGTACCTCTGTGTAGCATCTAAATAATATGAAAATACTGTATTTGTCGAAATGGACACTATATTACATTTAATGTTTAGCATTTATGTTTCCACTAACTTACATTGTATGCATCGTCTAAAACACATTCACAAAGAGCACAAGATCGAGAGTATTGCATTCGATATGTTTTTAGTGTGTTTATCAACACTTGAATGCAGTGTTTGTTTCTGACCATAGCGACGGATTTTGAATACATAAGCTTGCATGAATCCAGATGTGTTTTAGACCAATTTGCTCATGAAAATTACCATTTACCAGTGCTGCGGAGACAAAATGAAAGACGAATTTATTCACCATGAAACATCCAGGCTTACTTATCAAGACGTATCCGGCCGGGTGAACGTAACACACACTGTATGTCTTCAGATAACAGTGCCATAGGTATATACTAGTACTAAGCAACTCCTCATCCGTTGGTTGTATGTCCATGTATAAACTGATATAGACTAAGGGAACTCACACGATTTGTATCGCACTGTGGGTGAGATCGTCACACGATTTGTATCGCACTTTGGGTGAGATCTTCACACGATTTGTATCGCACTTTGGGTGAGATCTTCACACGATTTGTATCGCACTTTGGGTGAGATCTTCACACGATTTGTATCGCACTGTGGGTGAGATCTTCACAAGATTTGTATTGCACTGTGGGTGAGAATAAATAGAGGAACACTGAGATGAAGTAGTGTTCCCTTATTTGTTTCCCTCAGTATATGTATAAAGACAAGCATAACAAAAATTATCACAGAATGATAAATTTAAAGATGCAATGAAAAGTTGTAGGGTTGACAATTTTTTCCTATTGTTATTCATTAATCAAAATATTCCACCATCGGCGGTACATTAGTATAACAAAAAAGTATTTACAAAATGTACAAAAAGATGACCAAATGATACATCAATTAATGTGTTTACAAACAATCTTAATGAACTTGGATACATGTTCTAGGGTAGATATTTTACTTGAAAAAAGTTGACGTCATCGACGCTTTTACCAATATTCCAGCAATATCACGGCGGGGAACACCAGAAATGGCCTTCACACATTGTACCCATGTTGGGAATCGAACCCGGGTCTTCGGCGTGACTAGCGTACGCTTTAACCACTAACCAGGCTACCACGCCACTCCCGTCATTTCGAGAATATACATATTTGAAATAGTTTTGCAGGACATGAATGGTAGAATATTCGTCTTTTACAAATGAACAATACGCAAACCTTGTGTTACATGTCGATCCGGGAAGTGTATAGTTGTATCACTGTCATCATATGTATATGAACTGTTCGGGTGAATGGCACAGTGTGCGAAATTCCAAATTTACAAATTTTGCAAGACAGTCGGGCTAGGTATGCTTGAAATTACTATCCCACAAATTATTTTACTAGCCCGAAATTTGAACGTACACACGGGTTTCATCATTATGCTTCTAACATGATGAATATTTTTATCAGGCCATAATTTTGCATGATTTAAAAGTGTATAACTTAACAAGTGATATATTTGCAGAATGACCCCATGAAAATTCACCAGTCAGTCGGGTCAGTGACTGTGGAGATTTACTGGCCCGACTGGATTTTTACTCGCCACGGGCTAGCGGACGAGTGCTGTTTTCGCACACTGGAATGAATGACACAGCCATACGTAAATGTTTATCAAAGGCATTCTGTAAAAGTATGTTCAAGTGTTTATTGTATTACTGATATATCAATAAACCATGGACTTCGTCATTCTTTCATCACCTGGGGGTATAACATGTACACAAATAATCCGTGAAGTGTAATGGAAGTGTTGGTTAGAGTTACCTCCCTTTGTAACCAGGAAATGGCCATGGACGGCGAGACAACCCACAACAATTCTGTCCTAACTGAGCCTCGGTATTTAGTTAAACAACAATCTTTGCTCAAAGACACAGCTGCCAATATCACGGTGACACCATCTGAGAATGTCCTCACGACACGAAATATTATTTCAAAGATTTCGAATACGCTACTGTTTCTCAGAGTATCCAACTACACGGTTTGAATTTCACACCAGAATACGACAACGGACGTCATTACGGTGTCCACAATGATTCGTGAATGTTGGTACATGAACGTCTCACTTCCATTATGATCTCTACTCCTACATGTTCAAGTAACGGAGAGTGAGTATTTTTTACGCCGCTTTTAGCAATATCCACAATATCACGGCGGGGGACACCAGAAATGGGCTCGACACAGTATACCCATATGGTGAATCGAGCCCGGGTCTTCGGCGTGACGAGCGAACGCTTTAACAAATAGGCTACCCCACCGCCCCTCAAGTGACGGAGACGGTTCTGATGAGGACACTGACACACTTTACGGATCACCTTCCGAACTAGGCAGTGAGTAACATTTGGTATCGCATTACTTATCGCTGATGTCTCTAATGATTGCAAACATATCAACAGTACATCCAGGAATACTCCTCTGTAGAGCCGTGATCAGTTCTTCCACTGTGGCACGTCTGCCCTTCAGTTGCCTCCAAGTGTTCAACATGGCCAGTGTTTGCATCTGAGGTGACGAGTTGGGTGTCGCGCACCTGTCTACACACACATAGCGCAGTCCCAGCTCCATGCCCAACACCTCCCAGCCTCTACCGATATGCTGGGACACCACAAACAGAGTCCTGTCTGTCACACATGTTTGTCTCTGTTCCTCTGTCAACAGATCTAGCCAGTCCTCGTCAGGCTGAACACACTGGAACACGTGAAGATTACAAACACTTTAAATTTCAGTATTTTGCATATCTTTGGTCATTAAAAATATTACAATCAATTTGTGCAGATAGGAACACATGTACGTCTAAGTAGATATACACGACAGTGTTCGTTCTGTACGGAAGGAGCGTAGGGCTTGCCCCGTGGTTAAAGCGTTCGCTCGTCACGCCGAAGACCCGGGTTCGATGCCAGAAAAGGGTGAAGCCCATTTCTGGTGTCCCACGCCTTGATATTGCTGGAATATTGCTAAAAGCGGTGTAAAACTAAAACTTGCTCACTTCCTCTAAACGGAAAATGTGAAAGTAATATATGAGGCAAATATTGAACTAGTGTGTGAGTAAGTATGGTTTAGTATCAATATTCTTTCACCATTATATCCCAACACAATTTAAGATGAGCCGGACCCGGGTCTTCGACGTACGCTTTAACCACTCGGCGATCAAGCCAGTATCTGATGACATGTAGAGTAAATGCATAACTTTCAACATTTCACGGTACCTGGTATCTTCGGTAAAACCAACATCCACACAAGGTACACACTCTTCTCCACAGATTCCCTTGACTGTTTACTGGCATTACGCTGATACCCGCTCGGTGTCTTACTGCATGTTACCCAGGCGGAGATCAATCCCTCAATGTCATTTTCATAACACATGTCTGTGTGTATATACACATTATTGGGTCAAGTCCTGCTAAATATAGTCCCAATGAAGACACTACTGGTCCGTGTTGTGTGATCGTCGACACAGTTCCCGCGATCCGTGTTGTGTGAGGCGTGTCTCTAGCAGTACCACAACACAACAATGAACACGCTGATAGTCTACAGATGAGTTCTCCACCTAATGAATGAGTTGGACTTTGTTGTATGGAAAAGGCATTGATATACAATGCATCTTGTCACGCTGGCTTGAGCTGACATTCATTTCTGAACGATTTTGATCCGTTATACGTACATAAATATCTATTTAGATGGATTGGAAATAAAGAAAAGAGGACAATGCAATTATTTGCTTTTGGTTTTAAACTTTTGTAGGGTATTTAAACTTCGCAGTTTTGCCAGACATATACGTAACTGGTCGTTGTGTATACTTATTCTACATATTTCCATTTCATTCTTTTCAGAGTATGAAGAATCGCATATATCGTGTCATCACTGTTCTAACTTCGTTGTATACATGTATTTATTGATTAAAAACATCCGTGAACGTTGTGTGAACCACTGTCGGTTCATATGGTGATCGTAGGTGTGTCCGCACCACATCCAGTTCCTGGGTTCGACAAAAATACATCAACAACCTGTATCACTTGGGGCTTTCCTTGAACATTGTATACGTTTATGTTATCTCCAGCTAATAATGTGATGTATGTTATCTCCAGCTAATAATGTGATGGATGTATGTTTAGTACTCAACAGGAAACATCCGTGAAAGGTCTGGATTGATTTCATTAAAACACAGTGTTACATATTGTACAAATGCATATAATCTCCAGCCAACAATGTCCCGGTTATATGTTCAGTATTAAACAGGAAACATCCACGAACGCTTAAACCACTAGCCAGGCTACCCCATCACTTCCGTCATTTCGAGAATATACATATTTGAAATTGTTTTGCAGGACATGAGTGGTAGAATATTCGCCTACCACAAACTGCGCAATACGCAAACCTTGTATTACATGTCGATCCGGGAAGTGTATAGTTGTATCACTGTCATCATATGTATATAGGACTGTTCATGTGAATGGCACAGCTATGCGTAGAGGCATTCTGTAAAAGTTTGTTCAAGAGTTTATTGCAGTATTGTTATGTTAATAAACCATGGGCTTCGTCATTCTTTCATCACCTGTAAGTATATTATGTACAAAAATAATCCGTAAGAGGCGACTAACGGGATCGGGTGGTCAGACTCGCTGACTTGGTTGACACATGTCATCGGTTCCTAATTGCGCAGATCGATGCTCATGCTGTTTATCCCTGGTCCAGACTCGATTATTTACAGACCGCCGCCATATAGCTGGAATATTGCTGAGTGCGACGTAAAACTAAACTCACTCACTCACTCCTCCAAAACACATTCACAAAGGGCACATGATCGAGAGCACTGTTCACACATAAGTCGAGGTTTTACGCCGCTTTTAGCAATATTCCAGCAATATCACGGCGGGGAACACCAGAAATGGGCTTCACACATTGTACCCATGTTGGGAATCGATCCGGGTCTTCGGCGTAACGAGCGAACGCTTTAACAACTAGGATACCCCACCGCCCCTAATGGACATTTAAGGTTCTTCACATGTCCAAGAAAACGATATAGCGACGCTTAGCCGTGCATTGATTATTGATCAATCCAAAGTCTTCTAACTTATCTGAAGGGTAAAAGAAACCAATATACATTCAATTCATACTATTCGTATTTATTTACGACAGACTAAAAGAGTATTTGCTATGAAAACAATGCAAGAATGAACATAACAGAATGGCTGGTTTTCTAAAAGATGAACGATAATATAGTGGTAAAAAGTCCCCCCAAAATGGCATTATAGAACTTGTTCGGGAAAATAGTTGGCACCGGCATTGTTAGCAGGTTGGCATTATACAACCAGGGCAATTATGACCATCTTTGACTGTAGCCTAACATATACGGAATCTATCGTTATATGGCATTGCATTCGAAATGTTTTTCGTGTGTTTATCAACACTTGAATGCAGTGTTTTTCTGACCATAGCGACGGATTTTAAAAACAAAAGCTTGCATGAATCCAGATGTGTTTAAGACCAGTTTGCTTATGAAAATTTACCATTTACCACTTCTGCGGAGACAAAATGAAAGACGAATTTATTCACCATGAAACATCCAGGCTTACTTACTTATCAAGACGTATCCGGTTGGGTAAGCAACACACACTGTATGTCTTCAGATAACAGTGCCATAGGCATATACTAGTACTAATCAACTCCTGATCCGTTGGTTGTATGTCCATGTATAAACTGATATATACTCAGGGAAACTAATATGGGAACACATGAAAGAACAAGTGTTCCTTTATTCTTTTCCAGGTTTCTTCACAAGCTGTGTATCGCACTGTGGGTGAGAATAGATAGAGGAACACTGAGATGAAGTAGTGTTCCCTTATTTGTTTTCCTCAGTATATCTATAAAGACAAGCATAACAAAAATTATCACAGGATGATAAATGTAATGATGTAATGAAAAGTTGTAGGGTTGACAGTTCTATATTCTTAGGGGTAGGTATTTTACTTGAAAAAAGTTGACGTCATCGCCACTTTTACCAATATTCCAACAATATCACGGCGGGGGACGCCAGAAATGGGGTTCACACATTGTACCCATGTTGGGAATCGAACCCGGTGTAACTGGCCAGAGTATACCCCTGTCCCAGACTATACCCGGGGTTAAACTGGACTAGCCCAGACTATACCCCAGGTATAATCTGGGCTAGCCTAGTTTATACCCCGGGGTATATTCTGAACTAGGCCATAGTATACCACCCCCACCACCCCCACCACCCAGCCCAGATTATACCCCTACAGAAAACAAGTGATTAAGGATACTACTATAATTTTATTGTACTTCTCACACAATTAAACACTGGTTACAACATTGAAATGGTCCGATACATTTTCCAGATACAAAGCATAATCAGTGTGAGTTTTCAAGCTGAAGCTGGCAGGGTACATCAGCCATTGCATTGACTGACCAACTGCACTGTAAATATAAAGTCACATTTTAACAGACTGGCTGTTGACATAACTTCTGCATCTGTTGCCCACACTCCATCTCGTGAAATTCCTGAATTAGTGATGAACTCTTTGACATTTTGGTTCATCATTATTGTCATTGTTCATATGCTGAACCACTCGATCTCGGATAGTGCTGTGACTGTCTTCAGATCCTGTCAGGCTGTAACTGATGCAGTGGAAGTAGCAGTTGCCATCGCCTTTGGTTCTGTATGTCCGTCGGGGTGCTGTCAAGTCTGTTGATGTTCCGATCACCGAGATCAGTCTCCAGAGTCACTTGTTCATATTAATAAATAAATACCAGCCCCTACTCACACCATCACCAGCCCCTACTCACACCAGCCCCTTCTCACACCGGTTATCTCCCATTAGTTAGACAGCCAGTTGTTAGACAGTGGAGTAGGGTATTAATTAAGACAATACCCACCTCCATAATGGTACAGCTCTAATTAGATTGATGAGTAGAGCGTGCCCGTAGTTAATCTGTTCATGTTGTACTACCCCGTTGCCGAAATACCTTAGTTGTGTGTGCGACGCTAAATAAAGCAAATAACTAACTACTAACCTTGATGATATATCAGCATGGCTGGGTTATGCAAAGTCGAAAATATCATATTGCAGAGAGGCACTCAACAAATACTTAATATATTTTGTATTATGCAGTAATGTAAATGAAATGCACCAACAAATTCCTTTAAATGACACCAAGACCATTGCCCGAGTCACACACTCATATTGAGTGAATTGTCAACATAATTTTTTAGGGGTATAGTCTGGGCTGGAGGGGTATACTTTGGCCTGGTCCAGAATATACCCCCGGGGTATAAACTGGGCTAGCCTATAGTTTATCCCGGGGTATAATCTGGTGGGGGGTTATTCTGGGCTGCTACACCGGGTCGTCGGGGTGACTAGCGGACGCTTTATAACCACTAGGCTACCCCACCACTCCCTTCATTTCGAGAATATTCATATTTGAAATTGTTTTGCAGGACATGAGTGGTAGAATATTCGCCTACTATAAAATGAACAGTACGCAATCCCTTGTGTTACATGTCGATCCGGGAAGTGTCTAGTTGTATCCCTGTCAACATAGAACTGCTCGGGTGAATGGGACAGCTGTACGTAGAGGCATTCTGTAAAAGTTTGTCCAAGAGTTTATTGTCTTATTGATATATCAATAAACCATAGACTTCGTCATTCCTATATCACCTGTAAGTATATTATGTACACAAATAATCCGTGAAGTGTAATGGAAGTGTTGGTTAGAGTTACCTCCCTTTGAAACCAGGAACTGGCCATGCATGGACGGCGCGACTCCTACAACAATTTTTTTCCTAACAGAGCCTCGGGTATTTAGTTAAACAGCAATCTTTGCTCAGAGACACAACCGCCATTATCAGGGTGAGACTATCTGAGAATGTCCTCGGACACGAATTATTGTTTCAAGGATTTCGAAGACGCTACTGTTTCACGAGTATCCAAACACCCGGTTTCAATTTCACACCCTGAATACGACACGTACGTCATTATGTGCAGTGTCTAGAATGATTCGTGACAAGCATGGGTTGCGGAAGACCAATTCTAACCTGGTACATGAACGTCTTACTTCAATTATGATCTCTACTCCTACATGTTCAAGTAACGGAGACAAGCTTTTGATGATGACGACACTGACATAGATCTATTTTACGGATCACCTTCCGATCTAGCTAGTGAGTAACATGTGGTATCGCATTACTTATCACAGACGTCTCTTATGATTGCAAACATGTCCACAGTACATCCAGGAATACTCCTCTGTAGAGCCGTGATCAGTTCTTCCACTGTGGCACGTCTGCCCTTCAGTTGCCTCCAAGTGTTCAACATGGCCAGTGTTTGCATCTGAGGTGACGAGTTGGGTGTCGCGCACCTGTCTACACACACATAGCGCAGTCCCAGCTCCATGCCCAACACCTCCCAGCCTCTACCGATATGCTGGGACACCACAAACAGAGTCCTGTCTGTCACACATGTTTGTCTCTGTTCCTCTGTCAACAGATCTAGCCAGTCCTCGTCAGGCTGAACACACTGGAACACGTGAAGATTACAAACACTTTAAATTTCAGTATTTTGAATATCTTTGGTCATTAAAAATATTACAATCAATTTGTGCCGATAGGAACACGTGTACGTCGAAGTAGATATACATGACAGTGTTCGTTCTGTACGGAAGGCGCGTTGGGCTTGCCCCGTGGTTAAAGCGTTCACTCGTCACGCCGAAGACCCGAGTTCGATGCTCGAAAAGGGTGAAGCCCATTTCTGGTGTCCCACGCCGTGATACTGCTGGAATATTGCTAAAAGCGGTGTAAAACTAAAACCTGCTCACTTCCTCTAAACGGAAAATGGGAAAGTAATATATGAGGCAAATATTGAACTAGTGTGTGAGTAAGTATGGTTTAGTATCAATATTCTTTCACCATTATATCCCAACACAATTTAAGATGAGCCGGACCAGGGTCTTCGACTTACGCTTTAACCACTCGGCGATCAAGCCAGTACCTGATGACATGTAGAGTAAATGCATAACTTTCAACATTTCACGGTACCTGGTATCTTCGGTAAAAACAACATCCACACAAGGTACACACTCTTCTCCACAGAGTCCCTTGACTGTTTACTGGCATGACGTTGATACCCACTCGGTGTCTTACTGCATGTTACCCAGGCCGAGATCAATCCCTCAATGTCATTTTCATAACACATGTCTGTGTGTATATACACATTATTGGGTCAAGTCCTGCTAAATATAGTCCCAATGATGACACTACCGGTCCGTGTTGTGTGATCGTCGACACAGTTCCCGCGATCCGTGTTGTGTGAGGCGTGTCTCTAGCAGTACCACAACACAACGATGAACACGCTGATAGTCTACAGATGAGTTCTCCACTTTATGACAGAGTTGGACTTTGTTGTATGGAAAAGGCATTGATATACAATGCATCTTGTCACGCTGGCTTGAGCTGACATTCATTTCTGAACGATTTTGATCCGTTATACGTACATAAATATATATTTAGATGGATTGGAAATAAAGAAAAGAGGGCAATGCCATTATTTGCTTTGGTTTTAAACTTTTGTAGGGTATTTAAACTTCGCAGTTTTGCCTGATATATACGTAACTGGTCGTTGTGTATACTTATTTTACATATTTCCATTTCATTCTTTTCAGAGTATGAAGAATCTCATATATCGTGTCATCACTGTTCTTACTTCGTTGTATACATGTATTTATTGATTAAAAACATCCGTGAACGTTGTGTGAACCTCTGTCGGTTCATATTGTGATCGTAGGTGTGTCCGCACCACATCCTGTTCCTGGGTTCGACAAAAATACATCAACAACCTGGGGCTTTCACTTGGGGCTTTCCTTGAACATTGTATACTTTTATGTTATCTCCAGCTAATAATGTGATGGATGTATGTTTAGTATTCAACAGGAAACATCCGTGAAAGGTCTGGATTGATTTCAATAAAACACACTGTGCAAGCGCATATGCACCTCCAGTAAACAGTGTCACGGTTCTATATTTACTAACACTCGCACTAAGAGAGCACTAAGATTGTCGGAAACCTTAGTTAAAGTATGACAATTACAATCATAGCTTTGTAACGTGGACCCTGATCCGTGAATTGTATCTTATCTTCCTGTACAAGCTGAAGCGCCTATAAATCTCTCATCCATTCGCTCGACCTACTCGCAAGCTCGCCTGATGGGTTTCCGAGCCAACAGAATGGCACGATACAATAACGTGTGAATGATGTTTTGGTTCAGTTGTCGGGATGTAGTCAGTAGAAGTGAAACAATCAACTCGATATTAAAGTGTGACAGGGAAGATAATATTGCTATTATTCAATCGTATTAGGGTCAATAACATTTCGGTATGTTACAGCAACTTGCAAGATTGTGTGTTGGTATTCATTGTTCAAATTTAAATTAAGCGGATCATAGTATTGTCGCTCGAATCATAAGGCAATCAGACACGTGCTTCAGCGTCCATCAGGACTAGATCTATCTAACGTTATATATAGTGTAGTCTGATGTCCCCCGCAGTGATAATGCTGGAATATTGCTGAAAGCGGCGTAAAACTAAACTCACTCACTCACTGTGAATTATGATCGTCCAAGTTAAGATATTTAAGGAGTAATATGACCTGAAATACTAAGCAGGACATTCCAACAATTAAAAGTATCTAAGTAATCAAATGATAATTGATTAAGGACCAACCATACGAGGAGACATAATAATGTTCAGCCTTTTTCACAGATGATTGTTTTATCTACGTTCTGCCACCGGGTCTATAATTATCAAACTATATATGTGATAGATACATCACTGGAATCTGTTGACTACTTCCACCATCTTCAAATTCGAGTGATTTCTCCGATTAATTATTTATGTTATTTACGTAAATATTACAGCTTATTCCGAGAGAGACAGTCGGGTGCGATGGCCAGTATGACCACATAAACATGAGATCATAAGATGTCAAATCAGTATTTCATGATAATGCGCCAAAAATGAATGTTATCGACGTTACACTGTTATTTCCTGATCCAACCCACAGCGAGGTAAAAATTTTAGATCATTAGATTTGTCTTTCATACACTCATATAGTATTTCCAGAAATTATTGAGAAAGTTGTTTCGGCAAATATTGTCTTTTCAGTACTTTGTGAGAACTCTTTGTCCTGCAATACACGACTGAATGCGTCTAGGTACACTACCGATCAATGTTTGTGGGAAATCGTGTGACAGCGTATCCCAATAATCGGCCACTTCTTTCTTCATATCCTCGGGGCGGTGGGGTAGCCTAGTGGTTAAAGCGTTGGCTCGTCACGCCGAAGACCCGGGTTCGATTCCCCACATGGGCACAATGTGTTAAGCCCATTTCTGGTGTCCCCCGCCGTGATATTGCTGGAATATTGCTAAAAGCGGCGTAAAACTAAACTCAGTCAGTCAGTCAGTCTTCATATCCTCAATATTTCTAAGTCCTTTTTGGTTTATTCTGTCCTTCATTAGTCCCCACACATTCTCAATAGGGTTAAGATCTGGGCTGTAGCTGGGCCAGTCTAAAACTTGAACATGTTCGTCCATAACCACTGTTTTGTGTTTTGGGCCGTTATCAAGCTTGAAAATCCAATTATCTTCATACAGTGTTCAGGCCGTTGGAAGAAGGTGACCAGTTCAACATATCGTTCCTTCGTCAAACTTCCAGTGAAAATACACAACGGCGTCACTCCACGTGATGATATCCCACCCAACAGGTGAAATTTCGGGCAATGTTTTGGTGTTGGTAGGTTTCACAGTATCATTTGTCCAAATTTTCACACCTTTCGGGAAAAGCCAGACAGAACCTTCATCAGAAAAGAAAACATTATCCCAATCTAGATTTTCGTGAACCCAGCACCAGTTTAAACGTCTTTCTGAACTGTACTGAACTTCCTTGGCCTCCCTGCCCGTCTTGTGCTTAATCCCAACTCCTGACTGAATATCCTTCAAAGTTCTGTATACTGTAGACAGAGGAATGTCATGTCTACTGTAGACAGAGGAATGTCATGTCTACCCGCTAACTCTTTTGCATTAGTCACGCCCCTTTCAAAATAATCTAGGACCAGCTTTCTTTTCTCTTCTGCTGTCAAATCTGCAATGTCAACAAAGGAAACCATCGGCTACACCAGGGGAGATAACTCTTGAAGTAGTAAGGTTCATTCTTAAGCCTCCAAGAGTTGCCTCCCATATTGAGTCCCTAACTACATAGTGTAACAACTATTTCAAAATTTTCAGAATTAGGAAATATAGATTTTCTAAATAATTTCAAGGAAAACTGTATACTCGTAGATTTAGATTCGAGTTCACAAGTTCCCCTGTCCACAATCTTTCGCAAAAAATATTTTTACCTGACATGATCAATTAACAAACCATAAAACAGACACGGGATACAAATCAAACCTCAGTCATCTTATCACCAAACAATCAGAAATCGGAACAAGCTTTCATTACGGGAATAACTACGTGTTAATCGAACCATCACTGAACACCATGGGTCCAGGCCCATCGTACACCCAGTTTGGTTCCTTAAGTCTAAGACAATAGTCCTGGGATCAGGCATTTCACTGTATAATAACTGGTGAATACTCTAATATATGTACTCTTATATTCGTACACCAATTCAGCTAACCTGACCACCCGGTACCGTTAGTCTCAGGTGGTTTGCAGAAGAGTTATTCTAACCCAGATAAACACTGGAGAGGTGAAAGGTCGTTTTGTGCGTGGGCGTGATAAAGCGTGCTATTTAAATAACTTACGTTATGCAAGTGAAATTGTGGGATTGTTTATCATTACCCTGAGTTTATTCTGTACAAACACATTATCATATACGACGTAATAAGCGACCAGCATTGCAAACAGACAAGGGCTTGGGGTGGAAGGGGGTGAAGGTGTAAAATTTGTTTAATTGAGGAATAGCGGTAGAGATCATATTTCTTCGAAACGTAGATGAACAGTTGTGAAACGTACCTGGAATTTTCTTCACCTTTTAAACTCCTGCATTTCAAGTGTAGAAATCTAAAATATACACCAGTTAATAAGGACCATCATGGCTTTTATCGGGCTAAGTACGAGGAGCCTATGAATGAAACTTTACAGATTGGTAAAGATGTTGAACATACTACCGCGGTGTACCTAATACGATAAATACGGTATGATATTTTCTAAGGTATGATATTTTCTTGGCCACAGGTCACATAAATGCTTCCAATCTTCGCGGTCATAATTAACTCGGGATTTCGCGATAGCTATTTCTATCCCAAGTCGCATAAGACGCCGACAAATATTTTTGGGGGGATTGTTTTCTACCAATTCATTCCATATGTGTACGACATGCAATACTAACTCATCTAGGTAGAATATCTTTCAAGCATGACCAGTCTAGATTGGCTGTATCTGCTTAAAAGTTGTTTAGTTGTAATGTAGTCTACAGAATTATTTGATGAAATACCCCCAAAATATGTCAACACAAAAAATGAACACACTGTTAGTGTTACCTCAATCAAACTCCATACCTTCATGATCTTCCAACATCTAAATGCCTCTGAATTTGTGAGGTTACTGAGAAACTGAAATAATGTAGACTAGGTTTTTTGTCTAAGTTTGAAATTGTAATTTCTCCTCGAATAAAAGAGACATAGATCAAAGGAGTACGAAAACAGCAAATAGCTAACTCACACGGTACCAGGGTGCCGTTGTACAAAGCGATCTTAGCGCTAAGGTTACCGTAACTCCCATTCATTAACGTAGACTTAAGGTAGTCTTAGCGCTAAGGTTGTTTTGTACAACGGCACCCTGGTGTCTCCCACTGAATGACACCAGTGCATATCATATCTAAAGATATCTACCCACCAACTGGAATTAATTCAAAAGGAGCTCCAACAAATTCTTAACTTCCACAGGGCATTTTTGTTGTAGTTTCTTTTATCTTACGGTCACTGAGTGCGAATGGGGAGCGGTAGGAGTCGGGTGCATAACATATGACGTGTCCCCGAGTATTAAATAAAGACATAACAGATACGGTACGATAACAGCATAGAATTGCCGCTCCTAGATAGTTACCATAATAGGGTCTATATCTGGGTGTGGACTGTATATAAAAGGATTTGATATCTGGATTTTTAGTTTCCACGTTTTGGGCCTTTCCGATCGACTGATATCGACATGTAGCCAAGGTAAGGCTGAACTTTCGAATTACAACAAGGGAGGTAATTCTGTTAACACTAACCTTTCTTTCAGCTAGACAGTTTTCAATTTCCTCTTTAAATAGTGTGTTCAACCCAGGCAATAATAGCGCCAGCCTTATTTTTACAGTGACTAAAATGTTCATGTTGTTGTTGTAAAGCGAAAGTAAAGTTCCGTCCATTCGGTATTATAGTCTAAAGCTGACAAGAGCTTACACTTAAAATTCGTTTATTATCGTCTAATACGATTATAAAAAATTGCATCTCAAGAGCCAAGTTGTATTCTTGACAAAGTCTTTTTC